CAGGTACTTCAAGGAATAGTCCAAAGCAAAAACGCGTCCANATTCGAGAAGACAATGCAATTGGCAGATATATATATAATCACAAAAACGCGTCCATATTCGAGAAGACAACGAAATTGGCATGCATATAAATTTAGCCTTCATAGATCGTCATTTTACCAGCATCCCACAATCCGTGGTAACAAAAACCCGTCCCACAGGTTTAGATCCCTACGAATCACACGGTATTTACCTTGCTTTAGCCGCAGCGACCTCCCGCAGTTCCTCCTTCTCCATCTCGACACGTGCCAGGAGCATCTCAATCTCTTCCCAGGCCTGAGTGCCTCTGATATAGATTGTCCCAGTAACCAGTAAGTCCAGAAAATCTGTTTTCATCTTGGGGATAGTCAGCTTATCGTGCCCTGAAAAGCGGGAATGTTGCCATAGTGACCTTTTTCAAATAGGCCGATTCGAAATGTGCAGACAGATATACTTCGGATTTATTTCCTATTGAGATTGGCTAACCGATACATATAAATTCAATCTATATGTGAGTGTTAGATATATCACATTCTCATGAATATAGCAAATATATTAAGTGGTCAGTATTCGAGCACAGAATACACCGAACTATAGCTTCCTCTCTCAACTCAGCCACTTTCATCTTTGAGCTGACTCGCGGGAAGGCTACCTCCTGTCCGAGAGTTCCAATATCTCCATCGAGGTCAATAAAATTCGGCATCTTTTTGGTATGCTATCAACCAATTTCCTACTAAGCCTTCCGTACGTATACACATAGCCTCACTTTCTGTCGTCTTGCAGTATGTGATATGTCCTATATAGGGGCAAAAAATATAGCTTCCTTCAAGAGACCTAAAGAACATGGCCAATGTCTATCAAGAAGGCTTGTTGAATTTTTTCAAAAATCATCTTGAAAGTTAAAAAAAAGAAAAAGAAGGAGAACCGGTGTTTTTAACCGTATATTAAATATTTAATTTTCCATTACGACGGCCATTTGAAATTGCCATTACTACTGCCTGCTATGTCCACCTTCCTAAGCTTATCGCTTACGCTTGCGATATTTATGACTGACGCTTACGACCGCCTCTACTTCTGACTGACGCCGGACAGTATAGTGGGCTTGTAGACGACTAGAGGAGCGGCGCAAAAGACTGCCAGTTGGTCGAAGGCTCACGCGATGTCGACTCGCGTCATGTTAGCGGCGAAACTCAAAGCGCCAAGTATGTAGGCTACGAAATTGTCCTTGAAATCGGAGCCTGTGAGAGAGCTAGGGCGGTGTGCTGTACTAGATGTTGCTTTGGGAAGAGAGCCGTGGGCGTCGAAGACATCGATGAGGCGTTGAATATACCCGTCTTGCTTTGGGAAGAGAGCCGTGGGCGTCGAAGACATCGATGAGGCGTTGAATATACCCGTCTTGTAAAAGCGACATGCAGGCAGATTTATATTTAATAACACGGACGCCCACCACGTGGGTGCCGAGACCAAGGTTAATCATGAGATAGTGCTGAGTAAGCTGAGTGTACAGCCAGGCTGCGGCGGTGCTTAAGGGGAGCACAGCCGAGAGAATCTCATGACGTCGACAATTACTGTGGGGTCGCGTGTGCCATGTTGCCACACACTTTCATCGGTAGGCGCTCGTTGAAATCCAAGAGAGCAAAATTTTGATGCAATGTCGTCGTCCGCGATTGGACCGTGCCGAGTGAGTGGGTGTATAAACACTTGTGTACCAAAGGAGCTGTATAGATAGGCGCTTGTAACTTCAAAATGGTAGACGAATTTGTGAGTGTTGGCAGTCTGTGTGCCATATAGAGGAGGATAGCAGTCGCGTGTGCCGCCGGGGCATAGGACTCGGGGGATCTGTCCCCGTATTCCTGCTCGTCACCTCGAGCGACGAGGCGAGCTTTATATAGTGTGAGTTGGCCGTTTTCGTCATGTTTCAAGGCGGACACATATTCCTATGGATAACCACTTAGGTCGTTTCTAGTATGGTACAAATCGAACAAATGTATGGTGGTTTGCGAGGTATCTGACGGAGTGGGCTGCCGTATCAAGATCGCTGAACGTCACGCCGAATGTGAAGTGAGTGCTGAGGGGCAAGTGGTCGATGATGCAGTCAGGACGTGTGTGGAGAGGCCAGGGCAAACAGGTAGGAGACGAGGACGGACTAGGCGACAAAAACTGATGTCGGGAGTGAATGGAGGGATAGAATGTGCGAGGTGTGCTAAGGGACCGACCTAGTATTTGAAAGAAGTGAGCTTGAGCGGAGGATGGGAGGTGACTGAGGAGGCGTGTCCAGGATTGGGGAATCATCAAGGTCAGAGAGCCGTAGGGAGGGTTGCTGAGGAGTCGGAGGAACGGACTAGGCATTCGAATAAGAGAGAAGGGGGGTAGGGGGTTCATCGTCGGGCAATGATCAGTCGCCTATATACCATTTGTATATGGCAAGGAACAGTATATAGTATGTATATACAAAATACATCCCCGTATATAATGGAGCATTTGATATGGTAATAAGAGCAGTTGTTCGTATGTACGGTATTTTCGGACGGCACTGTATCTTTATTTACGTTGATCTTTGTATATGTTGATCGTTATCGAGGCGGAATTGCACGCCGAGCTGTGGAACTATTGTTGACCTGCATCCAATTCCACGAGCCAGTCTTCAATTACTTTCGCACAGCCTGGTTTGCACGTGTAGTCATACAGTCGACTAGATATAGCAGATGAGAATTCACATTAGAGAGAGAGAGAGAGAGAGTAGCTCTAAGCAAAGGTAACAGTCGTTTACGTTGGCTACGCAGCGTAAATCTGCAATCGTGATAAGTGTCAATATAGTACCAAACGCGATGACGCGCAGCACCTTTTATCAACGCACACAAATCTGAGGGATCTCGACTTGCGTTCCTGATACAACAGCTACAGCAGGTGTCGCAATATCGAAGGAGCAAGCTTTTTATGGGACAAATCGTAAATATTGCAGCTCAACACAATTAAGCGGAAATAGGCCTTGCTGCTTCCCGCCGGACAGTAATTATATCAAGCTACGAGACCCAGTTTTCGAAGAATTAAACTGGCGAAGCCCGATGTTTATTACGATTATAGAAACTCATGTGTCTAGTATAGGTATGGTGGTAACACATGTGTGTTACACACATAAATATATACGAATATGTAGTGTAGTAACTGTGTGTACATCCACACACATAAATACATGTGACGACTTCATCACGCGCGAGTGTAATACTACTTTCCGATATTTGTATACGTGTACTATACGAGATTTATAATAGACAAGCACAATTGTATTCGTGAAATTCTTTAAGTGAAAGGCTTGTATATATCAATATATTTCCCTGTGTGTCTTATAAGAATAGATACCTGTCAATATACATTTATCTTCAATTTATACTGGCATGCACAAATACACATAAAATCCGGGTTATTCATGCGAATCACAAACAGGCGTGGCATCGTTTATCAGACAGTCTGACACCACATGCCTACCAAGAACGTCCATAATGACTCGCACTGAATCCACAAATCGTACAACCAAAGACTTCGTGACATACCTCAATATAGCCTTGCCCTCTTTTACGGCAGTGTCGAAAGCCATAGTCGTGTACACCTGAAAGTTGCCGCCGCTCTTTTGCGTGTCTATTCTATCGTAACTGAAATGAGGACGCGCATTAGAAAAACCAAGTTAATGGTTGGGAACTATATTATATCGCGACTATTCGTCGCGACTGTAGGGTAACCAGCTAAGCATTCACATCACAACGTGCGCTCACGAGTTCCTGCCGCAAACGCGATAACGACACTGTGTATATCCACTACATGCAAATGGTTTATCAAGAAGTACAGAATGCACAAACAGAGAGTCGCACGACTGGGCATTGCGTGCCACTGCCTATCGCCACTTACCCTGATCTCAGATCGAAGTCTACCGACGTCTTCCCGGTATCCGGATTGCGCGTTAATTTCAGACCCGTCTCGGGGCTGACAAACTCCTCTAGCTGGCTCAGTACACATACAGTCACGACATACGACCTGAATGCAGTCACAGCATACATCGTATCAGTGTTCGAAAGCCTTAATTCGAAATTAGTTAAAAGCAGAAGTGAATGCAGTCAGAACAAACGGCGTGGTAGTGTTTAAAAGACTCAATTCGAAATTAGTTAAAAAGCAGAAGTGAATAAAGTCACAGCATACATCGTATTAGTGTTCGAAAGCCTTCATTCGAAATTAGTTAAAAGCAGAAGTGAATGCAGTCAGAACATACGGCGTGGTAGTGTTCAAAAGACTTGATTCGAAATTAGTTAAAAAGCAGGAGTGACGCAGTCACAGCATACGGCGTGTTAAGTGTTCAAAAGACTGGATTCGAAATTAGGCAAAATGCAGAAGCAGGCCGGTTTAAAATAAAGACGGATTATCACGACCTACTTGATGATATCAAGAGTATCACCAGTCATATACTCTCTATTACGTGTACCACAATATGCTTCATATAGGAGATGAAGTTGTACAGTGTCTTGCAAGTTCGGATATTCGATAGTGATATACTTACTTGTTCCCGTCATGCATTGCAACTACATTCAGGTCGACGCGATGCGGCCCTCCGAAAGACTGGTAAAAACAGAATAAATATACAGATTTAGATAAGATTTTACAAGCAAAATTCCAGCCGATATATTGCATGCAGATAAAAATTATTTCGCGGGGTGATGATGTATTTGCTACTTACAGCGCATAAAAATGATGTGGCTTCCAAGAATAAATAGAAAATAGAGAGCGAATACGCCATCGGCGATTGCACTGAGGAGTGGGAGGCTGGGAGCAAAATGGTTCGAAGACACTTCCGGGCTAGTCGTAAGGAACAAAGCCTCGGTAGCAAAACTGGTATCATGTAGCCACCCAAAAATCAGAATACACATGCATCACTTCGCGACCAATCGAAGGGGAGATCACGTCAATGTCTGAACAGTGCCAACGATACGATACACTTGAGGCATATGAGCACACACATCTAAGCAACACCAACTTGATCCAAACAGCAGTATAGTTCTTGGCGGTACTCACACATGGTTAGAAAGTACTCCAGTCTGAGAGCGTCTATTCACATGCTTTCACACCCTTGCGCTGTACAAATAACACACCTTGAGCATCTTCATCCTCAGATCCGTGATCGCCACTACAAAGTTGTAATCGCACACGTCATCGACAGTGAACTTGATGAATGATCCATCTGCTTTACTGCCCACCTGCACATCGGTTGAAAGTGACACACGATCGAAATCAGTTAACTGTTTCGAAATACGGTTGTACATGCTGAATTGAGCAGATATATAACCCAAAGTAGTCGCACACACATCACTCAGATCATACCATACATTGTATCACACCAAACTCTAATTTTAACTGTGCATACCACCCACCAAGGCCTTTACCTGGATAACGTCGACGTGTGCATTGATAGCGGGATAATAGTGCGGCCTGTTTACCCTAGTATACACGTTATAATCCTGTACTGTAGCCCTCCAGACTTGCGTATGTTGAGTCCGAGCAACGGAAGAACCTATCTGTTTGAAAGCAAGGGGGAAATTTTTTCATCTCAGCATACATATAGCAAGCGACTATGAGTTCAGACTAGCATGAAAAGGATGCAGCTAGATGGGTGTACAAATACACAGGCGTCGCATGGTCAGAATTCGCCACGAATGATGACGAGTCTTATCTCGTACCCACGAGGCCATAGTATAAACTTCGCCCATGCCTGTAAGTACAGAGTAATGAATTGTGTGTACACACACATAATGATGTACTCTACCCTCCGTAATAACACATGCTCAAAAACAACATACTTTCGGGTTCTGCCCCACCGCGTGGTAGTCTTCGTTCGGAAGTTTAGTGGCGCCCCTGGGATTCGGATTCATGACTTTACACTCTTGCAGAATCTTTTCTATATCAATCAAATACCTGTTCATGCGTGAAATCACAACAACGGAGGTCTATTACATGAGACAGCTGCTGTTTCCATGGAGTGAAAGCTGAGTTGTCAAATGCGATATTCGATAAAAATAGATTCTTCGCAGAGTTAGAGATAATAACCCTATTTTTTTATAGAATTCTGATACTATTCTGTAAAACTTATGTCTTGTTGATATCAATATGATCGTTCAGGAAGAGAATTCTTTCCTTTATCCCTTCGAGATAACACAGTACGTGTACAGCCGAACCAGGAAATACCAATAGTTTTGAGCTACCCAGTACTGAATATGTTCTTAGAACATTTGAACACCCACTACGCGCACGAACACACAAATTCAATAAGTCAACAGTCTTTTCGCTTACAAAGTCTCATATTTTGCTTCCGAAGTCATTAACCATCATACCAATTCTCGAGCCTTGAGGTAGGGTCACAAGGGAGACTCAGTTGATGCAGCATTCCAACTCTCTTCTTCCCTTCGAGATGCTCACCGCCAGCTAGGGACATACCTGCATATTGTATTGTAAGCTGTAAGTTCGATATATATATATATATATATATATATATACATCTATATATAATATATATATATATCTATCTATATATATATATATATATATATATAAAATAATAAAGTAGTAAGTAAGTAAGGTAATAATAATAAGAATAANAAGTAAAATAAAATAAAATAATTA